ACACACACACACACACACACACACACACACACACACACACACACGAGTGGAGACTACAGAAAAACAGACATAACCCAAGGGTATTAACATTATCGCAGGACCATTTCCTATTCACAAGCAGGGAGGGAACAGTGCAGAAAATCTTAAGCTAACCCTTTTCCAGAATGAGAATGAGGCAACTAAAAAAAAGAACCTTTTCAAAGAGTTCTCAGCAGGATGAATCTGAACCTATCTATCTACATTCAGTGTCTGTCTTTCTGGTTGTGAACATCACAGCACCAAGGATAAGGAACTCCTACACCTCACAGGCTTCCAGGAAGTAAAAGCTCCTGGTCTCTTAGGAAGGAAGGATCATTATGTCTTTACTTACAAACTAAGATATATCCTTACTAACTGGAGTGGCAGTGACCCAGAGCAAGACCAAGAAAGCAGTGTGCAGTTTACAGACTGCCAAAGGCCCTTTACAAAGACAACAAGTGGGATGCATTTCTGTAATATACTTTATGGACTATAAAATAGCATTTTTTGTAGTAATCAGAAGAAATTGCCTGTTTTAAATTATATAATACAGACATATTTGCATATTGACTTCATATATCTATTGATGAACATTAACTTTCTACTGATCTATAAATTAGTTATTATTTCAGTTTCACAAATGAGGGAATTAAGATCTGGAAATACTGAATAATTTGTGTAAGGTCAATTTTCTTGCACTCATATACTTTGATTTATCACTTAATGTCCTTTGATGGTGAGTCTACCTGTCCCTAAAATGTCCATGTTTCTGAGAAACGGACCTTAACTCTTGTGACTCATACTATCTGCCTCAGCAACTTTGTTATAGATTTAAGATATTCAGAAGCACCCCCTACACACACAGACACACACAGACACACACACAGACACAGACACACACACACACACACACACACACACACACTAAATTTTAAAAAAAGATAAAAACATCTAACTACTAAAAAATGACAAAGAAAAAACTTTGAGGCAGCTGATTCAAGGGCTGAAAGGAAAGGACTCCAACCCTGTGTGCCCTTTTTAGTGAAAATACCCTTAAATAATAAAGACAATAGGAGCTGGATGCCTCAGCAGTTAAGAGCACTGACAGAGGACCCAGGTTAAATTTCCAGGCTCCATGTGGCAGCTCACAATGGTCTGTAACTTCAGTTCTAGGGGATCTGACACTCTTACACAGACATGCATGCAGGTAAATACCAATGTACATAAAATAAAATAAATCTTTCAAAAAAGAAAAAAGAATAAAGCACTCAGGAGATAGAGACAGGCAGATCTCTCTGGGTTCAAGGCCAGTCTAATCTACAGATTGAGTTCCAGGACAGCCAAGGCTATATAGAGAAACTCTGACTTAAAAAAATAAAGAACAACAACAACAAACAAACAAAAAGAATAAAGACAAAACAAACATTGTAAGATGAAGGAAAAGCGCAACTCCATGACAGGAGACCTGCTGGAAAAGTCACAACAGGGAATGGCAGCCAGCGGAGGAGAGTGGGAACTAGAGAACAAAAGATCACCAGTCAATCGATATCTCTGTGAGAGCCACAGCGCTGTCTTCTCTGAAGTTCTTCACGTCTACAGTTTGAGGTGGCGTTTTCGATATGGAGGTGGACGGTACTGAAGCACAAAGTGGGACAGGCTTGCAGTGGTAAGGAGGGTAAAATCACATTCTCACAGTACACTGTGAGAAGTGTGTGTAATGCCCATGACAATCACTAAATACAGTCAAAGAAATATAGTCACTTTTAAGATCACTTAAAATAAAAGACAGTAAAAATATTTAAACAATCCACACACAAAGCAGTCAGGAAAACCTAAGAAGAATATAAGAAGGGGGTGTGGTAGCTCAAAACCTAAGCTAATGACAAGCTCTTGAAGAGGACACAAGCAACGGCCCACGTGATGGTCCATGCCCTCTTCCAAGGCATTACGCCTTCCCCAGTTCAAATCTTTCCTTCTACCACTTGCTTGGACAATTAACTTTCAGAGGCCAAGCCATGCCAGCGTGAAAACCACTAGTTCATAAGAACACAGAGCAGCTGTCAGTGACCACACCACCTCTACTGAGACGTGCATTCTGGAGAGCAACAGGGCAGCGTGCTTACACACAAGCTCAGCAGTTCACCCCTTTCGATGTACTCAAAGGCCAGACTATTAAAGTGGATTACCACAAGCAGCCATGTAATAAATTCAGAACATGTAAACTGTGACAAACTTCAAGGTCTTTCACAATGAGATGGGTTCACACAAGATACCCTCATTGTAGAACAGAAAATTTCAAGATTTCCAATTTTTATAAAACATCTAGAACACTAGAGGTTTTAGCATAATTTTAAATGTTACAGTGTGTCTGTCCTCAGAGTTTGAAAGATAATCTAGTTTATCTTCTAGGACCCTGTTCGTTCTTTAATCATGTACTTCTTGGCCTTTACTGAGCGTTTATCTTTTTATAATCAGAGTTTCAGATTTCAGCATATCTCTTGTATATTTCGCCTTGGGTGTGGGTCTGATACTTTTGAACTGGTATGCAAAGTTCATGAGAAACATGATGATAAAGGTAGGTGTGGTGGCCCAGGCTTGTAATCTCAGAGCTGGGAGGGAGGGAGAGACAGCCTAATTCTTCAAGCTCCAGGATAGTGTGGGACTCTGTAAAACGCAAGGCGGATGGAGCAAAGTTGACTTTTAGTCTCTATATGCACACACACACATATGTGCATACAAATATGTCACATATGTGCACATACACACATAAATACACAAAAAGGAAAAAATGATGTTTAATAAATCTACGCCACATGGCTATCAGATATCTAAACAATACTTTTAAAAATTTAAAATAGTTTTTGAGATTATAATTTAATTACCCCATTTCTCCCTTCCTTTCCTCCCTCCAAACCCTCATACACCCCTCCTCATTTTCCTTCAAATTCATGGCTGATTTTTTCACTGTTATTGTATGCAAATATGTATATGATGTATATACATATATATTGCTCAATTTTATCTGTTACAGTCCGTATAACGTTACTTGCATGTATGTCTTCAGGGCTGACCTTTTGGCACTGGACAACAGTTGGTGCTCTCTTCCCTGGGGAGGACCACCTCTCCTGCTCCCAGCTTTCCTCAGTTGCCCATAGTTCTTCATGTAGCATGGAGGCCATGTGGGCTTTTCCCCATCCAGTTAAAGGCCATGTCCACTGGTGTCAGCCTTTAAATTCAACACTTTTATCTGAGTAATTATGACTCATCAGTTACGTCTATAACCCTAACAGACCTTGCAAACTGACTTCAACGTACACCCCTTTTCTCCTTAAATCACGTTCACTGAAGGCTTTGAGGTCCTTCCTATCAGCAGGCAAATCTAATCACAACTATAGGAATTCTTACCGCATGTCCTCACATCATTCAGTCCTAACAAGTTCACGGAAGGGGCAGTTTGGCCAGTGACAGCCTTCAGGCCACATCCAGCCAACTCACTGTGTTTTGTTTTGTCTTTTTTTCTTTTCCCTTAGAGCCCCAGAGATAAGAGTAGTATTTACTGCTCTGCCTTTTGACCTGTGAAGCCTTAAATATTTACTTTTTTGGTCTTTAAAACAAAACAAACTTTGCTCTAAATCAAATCTAGGCTACAGAGTGAGCCCTGGTCTTTACAGCAAATAAAAATAATAATAAAAAAAAAGAACATTGGCTATTCTCTATACAACAGCTCTATATCGTGGCTCTAAGTATCTCCAAAAGTTAGCATTGTTTTGAAAGTGCTTGGATTTCTGAATATGTCACATTCATTTCGTGAAAACACACACACTCAGGAAGCCCATGTTTAACTCCCACACAACGCTCTATACTAAAGGCTAGCACGTTTTCCTTTCTGAGAGAGCATAAAATAAATACTTCAGGTTTATAGGCCAAATGCTTATGGTCTCTGTCATAACAACTGCACTGTGCTCTTACAGCTCCCATACAGGAATGAGTGTGCTATGCTCATAAAACTTCTTATGAACACCGAAGTCTGAATTGCATAAAATTCTTAAATGTCATAAAATAGTTTTGTGTTCCTATCAGTCTTGAGGCCCTTTTAAAAAGGTATCAATTGTTCTCCGGTCATGGGCCATAAAGAACCAGGGAGTCGGCTGCAGTTGGCCTGCTCTATAAGAAACAACACTGCAGGAGATTAAAAGCAAGAGCAGACACAGTGAAATCCTGTAAGTAAATAAATAAATGCAGAACACAGTAGGTATACGGAGGAAAAAAGTACTACAAAAATATATTTAAAATGCCTGATCAAGTATAAAAATTATGTGTCACTAGCTAAAAGTGCTCTTTATAGGCAAGATTATCCTTAGAATGGTAAAGAGTCACCCTAGAGGAATGAGGACTCCGGGATACCTGCGTCACACAGTGAGACCTGCTTCTTCATTCACACTTTATTCTCCCGTGTAGACGAAAAGTGAACCAGGCTGATGCAGGAGAAAGGAAACAGAGACCCTCTTTGCCAAAGGGTGTGCTGTGCTCTGCCCAAAACTCCTTTGTTTTCATGGAACTTTTATCCCCACCCCATGCTTCCGATTGCCTATATCATCAACCGGCAGTGAGAAATGTTTTTGTTTGGCTTGGGTTTTTGGTTTTTCGAGACAGGATTTCTCTGTTTAGCCTTGGCTGTCTTGGAACTCGCTCTGTAGACCAGGCTGGCCTCAAACTCACAAGGATCCGCCTGCCTCTGCCTCTTGAGTGCTGGGATGGGACTAAAGGTGTGCACCCCCCCCCCCCAGAGAGAACCAGTTTTTACTCCAACAGTGAAAGTCACTCCACACCCCCAGTCTGAAGCGGCCACCTGAGTCACGTGCTTACATCCAGGGCTGGTGGTGGCTCAGCAGCTTCACAGAGGGGGTGAGATTGTTCAAGGAGCACGTGATGCTGTTTTCCTTTTAATGCTCTTCACATTTAACTATGGCTACTCTGTCTACACACAGTTTTGATATTTAGTACGGAAGCATTCTTATTCACCTTTTCGCTCTGAAATTCATCAGCTCATTTCAAAGTTTTAATTTGAGGGCTTTATGTTGTCGGTGCTTTGTGATTATTTTAAAAGCTCTAAAACTAAACCTCACAGATTTAGATCTGCTGGGTATCCTGGGATATGGTATGTGTGAAGCCATGACAAGACAGAGCTGAAATAGAACGGCTGGCTGGAGTCCAACCACTGAAGACAGAGATTTAAACTCTAGAAACCTACGCCTCACTCTTCTCCACCTCACCTCACACAGGAGAAGCCAATTTTATTTTGCTGTATCAACATTCTTGCTAATGAATTCTTGCTAATGAGCAAATGAAAATGAAGCCAGTTTCCCAGTAGATCTCATTTTGATGTATCAGAAATTTCCCTCATGATTCTCAAAAGAAAAGCACTTATTCATTACTCTAGCTTCCCAGGTAGATGAGAAGGGTGCTTGTGTACTGAACTCTCAGTAACTATTCGGTGTATGGAGTACATTTTCCAGTAATTAAAAAGGGGGCAGGGGAGGGTGTAGCCCAGTGGTGGAATGCTAAGACAGCATGCAGAAAGCCTTGCATTCAGTCCCCACCATCATAAACACATTCAAGCAAACAGCCAAGTGCTGCAGAGTTCAATGCCAGAGTATATGGAGACAACCGGAAAATGTAATTGTTTTCAAAGGAATAAAGAAAATATTCCTTAAGCGAGGAAACAGTCTTTAGTGGCCCATCTTAAAGTATTGGTTCATTTTCATTGTCACACTAGAGGCAAAGTACATTCTTTAAAGTTACTGATGGAAACGAGATTGTTATCTGGACAGTTATTGTTTTGCAGGCATAAATGCTATCTATGCTATCATTAAAAAACAAAACAAAACAGGAAAATCTTTCCAAGAATCTTTCTTGTGAGTACACCCTGCTCTGCTTTCTCCCTGCCCCCCACCCACATCGCAAAACACGGGGCTGAAGCAAGTTTAAAAGGACCTAACTCTTGGGTTGGATGGCCCAGTGGTTAAAGGTGCTGGTCACTAAGCCTGGCCACATGAATTTGATACCCAAGACCTACATGGTGGAAGGAGAGAACTAATTCCCTGAAGTTATTCTTTGATATTTATAGCCCCATTAAATACATATTTAAAAAGGATCTACATCAAAGGTTCAATGCAATTAATGAAAAGGTTAGTGTATCTTATTATAAAACTCTCTGAGAGCAGAAAGCAATTCAATATTTCTCGAATGAATATACAAGAAGTCTACCAGAACATAAAGGAACATTTGAGAAGAATAAAATGGGTCCTGATTTCAACATTCACAGTCATTATGGTAGTGCCCTTTCCTAGAACTTTCTGTGTATTTTCTACATGGACGAAACACAGAGGACCGAGAGACACATTAAACATCAGAGGGCTCTAACCAGTAAAGCGTAGAGGAGAGAAATTGTGCAATACAAGTGACCTGCATTCTTCCACAGTTAATGATGTCTTGTTCGGGCTTCCTAAAAGGTATGGGATCAACGTGGAAGAATTGAGGAGAAACAGGGGGAAAGAAAACCCAAATGAAGCCGTGTTATTCAGCCGCTCTCCACTCTAGACAGCCAGGGCTCTCTTAGTCTGCCCAAGAAGCCATGACTATGTGGCAGAACTGGCCATTCGATAGAGTGGAGGAGGTATGACCTGAGCATCAAATACATTTACGCTTCATATGCATCCTATACACATAGCCCGCTGATAATTTTATATGATATTTTTTTGTGCACTAGTGTTTTGACTGCAGTTCACACGCGGTCACGTAGGGAATTATCCACTCATAATGTCACACTGACATTCCAAACACCTCAGATTTTGGAATATTTTGGATTATAGATCACAGATCACAGTGTTCAGCCTGTATTGGTTTATATGTTTGCCTGGTGTTTAATGCTTTTGACTTCTTTGAGATGCTGCCTTATGTCTTTTCATGTCAATATAAAGTGCATCCTTCAATTCTTTGTGTAGGACAGGTGTGCTAGCAACAAGCTACCGAAGCTTCAGTTGTCTGGAAATGTCCTAACTACTCTTTTGGGAATAGGCGTTGCCCACGTGCTGTCCACCGCAGGTGTCCTACCTGGGCACACCAGGGATGACTACTGTCCAGTTGTTTGCTCCTGTTAACGGATTACGCTTTCTGGTTTGTTAGAATGACTGTGTAATTTCCTTTTTCCTTGGGTATGTTTACTATACCGTGGAAGAAAGAAATCAGCTTCTCTCCTCCCTAGGGTTCAGCTGCTGTTAAAGACCTCAGTCCTTCAGTGACTTTCTCAAAGTGTTTGTATGACAATGACATGCTTTGTCATTTCCTCCTGCAGTTCCTGTCCCATTTCCTTAAACGCTGGAGCCAGGAGGCGTGGGAAACTGCTGAGGAAGTCAAAATGCACGATGCAAACTTGTGGAGAACAAGGTCTGCACTGACCACCTCTTTCCCTCCTCCTCAAGCAGTACGCCACACCAGGCTCAGAGCTGCTGTCCTATGCCGGAAGGCAAAATCAGCACCGTGCTGTCACAGAATCTAGAGGACTCACTGTGTGGTAAGCACACCCCTGCTTGTACGCTGAGGACACAGTGGATCACAACATTGAGTCTTGTCTTTTTTTTAGTGGTTGTTCCAAGAGAGGGTCTAAAGCTTGGAGGGCCCTACTCAATCATTCTCTCACAGTGTTTCCTAAAAGCATCCTTAATCGTTTACCTTGACACTGCTTCTTTCCACACACCGTTTATCTCAGCTAGCTCCCCTAAACAAGACAGCCACACTGGACGGTAGAAGCTGAGCACAATTCCAAGCATCTAACAGGCAAATGGTGACTTTAATTACTGCCTGCGCCCATCAATGTTAGGAAGTCCAGAGAAGGAAGCACAGCATCCCTAAGAAACCGGTGCCCCAAGCCCCAAGCCTGCCCCCACGCTAGCACCTTACGTTCGGGTTGCTTCTCATTTGGGGTTATGGATCGCACGAAGTCCTGGGGAGTCATGAACACCTCCGTTTCTCCAGGCTCATTGATTACTTTCAAGGTGGCGAAATAGCGGAAGATTTTGTCTGGCGTGGAGTAGGCTCGGATCCTGTTCTCATATTCCATCACCTAGAAAGAGAAAGTCAGAGGATGTCACTATGTTAAGCTACGCTCAAGTCCACTGACTCTCGTATGTGCTCATCTTATTTTGGAGAGAAGCTGATCATCTCTCTGCAGTTGGATTTTTTTATGTGTATATATAATAAATAGGCTCAATTTCAAAACTTTAAATTTCTTTCTTGCAAGATATCATTCACACTCTAGTTGAAGCAAGGTTCATAGAATTTTGTTTAGATCTCCCTTTTTTTTTAAAAAAAAAAATTTCTTGTTATTGAAAGCTGACAAAATTTAAAAATGCCACTAAAAGAATTCAAAAGGCCTTAGTAATGGAATTGCTGCATACAGTAGCCTGTAGGCTCTTAAATATTAACTTTTAAAAAGGGAGTCACTTTATGTGGATTTTCCTGAATACAAAAAGAAAACAGATTTGAAATTTCACAGGTTTGAATGGTTAGCATCCCTTGTAAGGCAAAATACATGAAATGATATCATAGAAAAATAAAACATGTATCACGGAAGCTCAATTATTTACAGGTCTGAAGTACTTTAGACTAGATTATTAGGCAAATTCACAGAAAACCTTCCCACGCAGCATATCTAGAAAGGAACAGAGGGCAGTGCACAGACGTTTCAGTAAAAGCAACAGTCAAGCACAGCTATGTTTAAGTAAACGTTTGCATGTTACCATGACAGCTCACATGTCTGACATGTGAATCTTCTGAGTACACAACACACTATCCCAATCACACATGTTTTAGTAAAAAAATGTCTCTAATACTTGAATTGTATTTTACATTATTATTATTATTATTTATTATTATTATTGTAAGACAGGGTCTCAAATCTGTCACCTGGCCTCAAACTTGCTCTGTAGATAAGGAAGACTTTGAACTTGGGATCCTCTGGCCTCCGACTCCCAAATGCAGGCATTACAGTGCACACTACTACACCTTGTGCTTTTTAAAGCTCAGGGATCAAACCCACAGCTGCGTGAATGCCAGGCAAGTACCCCACCAAGTGCATTCCATTACCAGTCCCCCATACCTTAGTTTTATATGCTGAGGTAGCCACTACTAAATAGTATCTTATAAAAATGTGTTGATGCAATGAAACCTAAAAACTCATTAGTTCCGTATCTGTAAAGCAGGCAATACTTTCAAATTTACCCACACATTAAATGTGTCCAGTTAACACAGCAGTTATTCTGTCCGTTATCCCTGAAGTGGCGGCAGCTGATTAGCAATGGTCTCAGTTCCACCACCAAATGTGGTTTTAGTGACTGAGAATGAACTGCCAGTTTATTACTCCGCAGGACAGGGATTCAATGAGAACCCGCATTAAAATCTGGGTGCTGGAGAGATGGCTCCGAGGTTAAGAGCACTGGTTACTCTTCCAGACAACCAGGGTTCAATTCCTAGTACCCACAAGGTGGCTTCCACTCTCCATAACTCCAGTTCCAGGGGATCTGATGCCTTCTCCTGGCCTCTGAGGTTAGTGCATGAACATGGTGCTCGGACACACAATTCAGGCAAACGCTCATATACATACACACATTTAAAAAAAGAAGTCTCAAATCTGAGATTCACAGAAGACTAAAAGACCGAGCACGTGGCAAACACAGCAGGAACTACTTAATCCCCGCACAGCCTTGAGCTTGGCTACAAGTCTTAGGCCAAAGGCATTACACTTAGACTATGCCTATTTATTTGCTGGCAATAGTGGCTACAGAAGAAACCACCTTTCTGGGGCCCGTTGGCATTTCTTGTACCCTCTCTAAAGACAGGAGTAGGGGGAGGGAGAGAAGGAGAGAGTGTGGTTCAGGATGTTTAGGGCAGGGGCTTTTGTGGATTAAAAGGTAAAATCAACCATACTCAAGGCAGAAAGATAAGATCATAAAACCATGAGATCAGGAGTTTCAAGTCTGAGAATCAGGTTTCTGGACTGTTGCAAGACTTACTAAATTATGTTACAGAACACTATTAATTTGACCACAAGCTGAGTATATACATTCTGCTATAGCATTTTTGTTCATTTTTCCTTTGAGGCAGTGTTGCAGTATGTATCCTTGGTCAGCTTGAACTCATGGATATGCCTGCCTCTGCCTCCTGAGTGCTGGGATAAAGGCCCACGTCCCCACTCAGCTGCTGTAGTGTTAATATAAACTAATGGTTCTGTGTGGTTAGAAAGTTCATTCTGAAACAATAGGTTCAGAAAAGTAACAGATTTAGTAAATCCTCATATTGGTAGCATTTAGTATGTACATACTGGCAGCATTTAGTATGCATACATGGTAGCATTTAGTATGTACACATTGGTAGCATTTAATATATACATATTGGTAGCATTTAGTATATACATATTGGTAGCATTTAGTATGTACATATTGGTAGCATTTAGTATGTACATATTGGTAGCATTTAGTATGTACATATTTGTAGCATTTAGTATGTACACATTGGTAGCATCTAGTATGTATACATCAGTAGCATCTAGTATGTACACATTGGTAGCATTTAGTATATATATACACATAGCATTTAATATATACATATTAGTAGCATTTAGTATATTTATATTGCCTTTTCCTACTTAGCACCATATCCTGGAGATTGTTCCATATCAACTCTGATTCCTTTTAGTGACTCAGTGATTTCACCAAACCACTATAGGAGGAATTTAGGACACAGAGTCCAAGAGAACAAAGTTTGGAAGCAATAATAGGCTACTACTGAGGGATTGGGGGATGCTCAAAGATTTACTAAGGAAATGATAATGATTCATTCCATCATTTATCAGTCTTTCTTAAGCATCATTATGTTAAGACGTATCTTCCATAAAATTGCTGAGCATAACTGAATCAAATTCGGGGATTATTTTTCTGTGTGAAATACACTAATGAGTACTCAGAAAGGACTGATAACCATAGCTGCTAAAAGGAAAAATAAGGAGCTGGAGAGATGGCTCCATGATCAAGAGCACTTGCTGCTCTCTCAGAGAAGCTGGGTTCGATTCACACCAACTACATGCTAGCTCACAACTGTATGTAACTCAAGTTCCAGAGGACCTGGAGCTCTCTTGTGGCCTCCACACACATGTGCTGCACATACATACATGCAAGCAAACACTCATACACATAAAAACAAATATATCTAAATACACATAAAAACACATAATCTAAAAAGAGAAGGAGGAGGAGGAGGAGCCAGACATCACAAGGTTACTGGGAACAGGGAAACAACACTGCCCACACTATTGTGGCCCCAGGGACCAAGGACAAGTCTAATCAAGCCTCCGAGTCCGGCTGCCAATATTCAAGTAATACAGAGGCTGGAGGAATGAATGACACTTAAAATGAGTGGCAAGAAGGCCCAGCCATAGGAAACTTTAAAGGTTAAATGGCCCGGAGCCTGTCCCCTATATATCAAGAGGATGAAAACATATTATTAGGATGGGGAGAAACGGTTCGATTACAGAGTTCATGCTTGGTCCTAAGTTCAATCCTCAGCATCAAAGGGGGAAAAAAGCTGACATTAAAACAACAAGATAAAACGACATACATCGGGTGATGAACACTTGATTCAGGTGATCACGTGAACGAGCTCACGCTCCCACTGCCCACAGTGGTGAAAGAAGGCCTAGGGAAGGAAGGCAGCCCTCCCAGCTGCTGGTGCAGGACCGGGAGGCCAAGAAGTGGATAAATCCCGAACACCCTGTCTCCACTCGACTCCGCCAGCTGGAGTACACGGAACTCTCCTATTGATGCGGCTCCAAGTGCCTCCTCCCTTAGAAAGTCCCTCTAGGCCCTGCCCGGCCAAACGGACAAGTACAGGACAGAACACAGCAAGGGAGGCGGATCAACAGCTGGCCTAGACCGAGAAGGTGGCTGCCAAGGAAAGGGTGTCCCCACAAAGAGGCTGCTGTCCTGAGTGGGGTTCAAACTGTCCCTGCCTCAGGGGAAAAAACACCACTCAGCTGCATATGACCCAGATGCCACTGAGCTGGTTGGCTTCTGCCTGCCTTGTGATGTAAGACAGGGTTTCCCGAGGGCTTCATCGGGGAGGGCCAGGCTGGGACATCTGGTCCACAGCAGGATGTGTGCCACCATCACCTTCACAGAGGTTAACTCTGAAGACAACTGGGTCTACTATCACAAAACAACAAGTAACCAGACAGCTATCAGGACCGGTTACAGTGACAGATAACGATGAGCTATGCTGTCCCTGGGGAGGCAATGTCCTGGGTCCAAAATTCATGGCTTGCGGTGCCAAACTGAAAAAATGCAAGGTCTGAATAGTTGTCTGCTAAACTGGATTAAAAGTACACTGCTGAGTTTTCTACATATTCCAAATATGAGAGGAAGTAATTATTATAAAAAATCTACTTGTATTGGGGGCATGGTGGCATATACACAATCCCAGCATTCAGGAGGTAAAGGCAGGAAGATCACTGGAAAAAAAAAAAGAGAAAAATAAAATACACACAAAGAAGCCAATCCATTTGTGGCACCCCACATACATATTTTGCTTTGTAGGAAAACAATTTAAACAAAATCCAGACGTTGTATGTGAATAGCAGAAGTAAGGTCATGGATCAAAGCTATCTATGAGATTTTTGACCAAGTAAAAAAGAATTTTGTTATAGTAAAACAGCAACTGCTTAAGAAATGAGATGTGCTGGGCAGTGGTGGCGCACACCTTTAATCCCAGCACTCGGGAGGCAGAGGGAGGCAGATCTCTGTGAGTTCGAGGCCAGTCTGGGCTACAGAGTGAGTTCCAAGAAAGGGGCAAAGCGACACAGAGAAACCCTGCCTCAAAAAAACAAAAAACAAAAAAAAGAAATGAGGATGCTTTACCTCATAGATGAGAGGCACACAAGAGCTTTTTTTTTTTTTTTTTAGATTTATTTATTTATTATGTATACAGTGTTCTGGAAATTTATGTCTCTGCAGGCCAGAAGAGGGCACCAGATCTCATTATAGATGGCTGTGAGCCACCATGTGGTTGCTGGGAATTGAACTTAGGACCTCTGGAAAGACATCCAGTGCTCTTAACCGCTGAGCCATCTCTCCAGCCCCAACATACCAGAGCTGTTAAGAGATAACAGTCTCTTTTAAAAGTGATGCAAACTGCTGGCTCCTAAGAGTAGTAGAGGGTTTTTTGTTTTTTTTTTGTTGTTGTTATTTTGGTTTTTCAAGACGGGGCTTCTCTGTGTAGCCCTGGCTATTTTGGAACTCACTCTGTAGACTAGGCTGGCCTCAAACTCACAGATCCACCTGCCTCTGCCTCCTGAATGCTGGGCTTAAAGGTGTGCACTACCACTGCCCAGCCTGAGGTGGTTTTTAATAAGCCCACAATAAAAATATATAGTTTATCACACAATATTTCTTCAAGGTCTCTATTTTTGTTTGTGTGTTTTTGTGTGTGTCTATGTGCAGATGTGCATGCCACTGCGCACATGTGGAGGGCTGATGATGACTAGTGGGGTTGGTGCTCTCCTTCCAGCATTGGGGTTTGGGTTCCAGAGATGAAACTCAGGTCACCAGATTTGGCAGCAAGGGCCTTTACCCACTGACCATCTCGACTGCCCGAGTCTTCTTTTTAAGAACTGTTCTATTGAAAAGATCTCATTTGTCTTAGTAGATGGATTTGTATATTCTTTGTCATTTTTGCTTTTATGAGCAGTATGTATTTTGTTTTGTAAAAAATAAAATACTAAAAAATAAATTCGGAATTAAAAATGTGATTATGATCATTACATTATAGACAGAAGAATTCTTACCATGTTTATATGTTACTTAAAGGAATAGATAGTGACTAAAAAAACCCCAGCCATCAGTAAGTGATGAAGATGATTCTTGGGGAATGAGATGCACAAGGACTACCCTTCAACAGAGGCGGGGTGGGACATGGCTGGTCCTCTGAGACTGGGGAAGAATTCAGAACTGTTCCTGACGTAGGCCAGTTAGGCTGTACAGCTTCAGGAGTTACAAATTAATAAACCACACTGGTAGCTTTGGTGCCCCTGTGAGGCTGGAGGCACTGTCATCTGCTGAGGGAATGACAGGCTATAAATGGAAGCAGGCTGACCCATGTTGACTTGAGTCACTCGACTCCACTTCTAAAGTGGAAGTGTGTAAATGAAACTGGCAGCATATGGCAGCGCTACGCTCCGAATTGACAGCGTTCGCCTGGTACCTGACGAACTGTGAGACAACCTTTGTTCAAATTCACCCCGTCACAAATGGACTTAGAAGTTGAGAAACTGTGTCTAATTTCATCTAAAAAGTGTTCTGGAATATTATTTTAAGATGTGTTACATTTGTTTGTGCTGTGGAACATTTGTTTAATGATGCAAAGATGTGCTGCGTTCTTTTATGTTCCATTTGTTGAACTCTGTGAAGCTCTGTTACTGTACTTGTCTAAAACACCTGATGGTCTGTCTAATAAAGAGCTGAATGGCCAATAGTAAGGCAGGAGAAAGGAGGGGTGGGGCTGGCAGGCAGAGAGAATAAATAGAAGGAGAGATCTGGGAGAGGAAAAAGAAGGAGCGAGAGAAGGAGGAAGACACAAGGGGCCAGCCACCCAGCTATACAACCAGCAATGGAGTAAGAAAGAAAGAAAGATACACAGGTAAAGAAAAATGTAAAAATCAAAGGCCAAAGGCAGATGGGATAATTAGAGTCAAGAAAAGCTGGCTAGCAACAAGCCAACCTAAGGCCAGGCATTCATAAGAAATAAGTCTCGGTGGGTGATTTATTTGGGAGCTAGGTGGGGTGTCCCCAAAAGAGCAAAACCAAACAACAACAACAACAAAGTTCTGTTCTTTTGAAGGAGTGACTCTTACAGATGCACATGACACAGCACATGGGAAGCAACTTGACCTGCTGTGGCATTTATATTTCTGTGGCTGGAAGCAATTGAGGATTTCAATCCTAACAATCAAGTTGTGTAAGAGATAACCCTTCAGAGTGTTTATGTGCATGCTTGCTGAACTCCGAAGTCTGACGTCACAGGCATTACGAGAGCAGAACCGAAACTTCTCTGAGGTAAAGCTGCAGTACCTGAGACTGTGGTCACAGTTAACGCTGTCCACAACTCTTTGGCTTTCTGGGAACACATACTCTCCCTTTACAATGTGACAGAGCAAACCAGAAACGTCACAAACAGTGTGTCTATGATAATGGTAAGCATAGGAAGACACAGAAAGCAAGCATGGGCTTACTATTTGAACTGAAAGAACCAAGAGTGTGAGCTTCCTGGAGACCAACCACAGACACTGCTCTGCTCCCTTTTACCTCATCTGGAGGAGTTGAGGGGAAAACACATAGCTCCTCAAGACAGAAGGTAAGCAACTCAAAACAGCTCTAGGAAGTTCCTGAAACTGACCAGATTCACTAGCGCCCCTCCCCCACCAAGAGTAAATAGTAGAAACTGCTGAGAGTCACTCTCAGATCAGCCACTGAAGCCACCAAGAAGCAGAGACCAGCTAAGCAGCCTGAGGGACGGGGGAGGGGGGGGATCAGCTGATCTACCTGGAAGAGGTTTAGACTATCTGAGCCACCCAGAAAGGAAATTCTCCAATCTGTGGAGCTGCCTGCAGGTGGTGCAGTGAGCTCCAGGTTCCCAGCTCTGTGAGCTGTCACCCATGCTGGGGTGGGCTTGGGTGAGCAGCTCTCTTGGAGTCATTTCTGCTCCTGTAAGTGACCTCTCATTCATGGTCCTGTAAATAACCCCAATAAAAAAATACTAGCTCCCCAAGTTAACCTTTGCTGGTATCTGTACTTTGGTCTACCGTGGGCTCACTATCTGGAGTGAGTAGTTGTGTGCATGTATGTGTGCATGTGTGCGCTGTGACTCTGTCTCACATGATGCTCCACACTCCTAGGGAACCTTTTGCTTACAACAACAGCAAAGAGGCGAAGACTCAGGAGTGACTGTGACCCATCTGAAATCCGGACGAGGAGGTGGACAGCACGGCTCCCCTTTAGAACACAGTTCTGATTCACTAGCAAAACCCTGCTCCATACTTTTCTGTCTCTGAATCCAGAACGCTTCTTCTTCTTCTCTTCCGGATAAGGCTCGGTCCCGGCATCCGCGGCCCTTCCGTCATGATTGGAGACTTCACCTTCCTCTTTAGTCTTCCCTGTATCACCAGGGTCGGGCTTTTTGCTGTTGACACACGGCGGAGACTCTGCGTGAGCCCTGGTGATGCAAAAGAGAAGCCTAGGTTAACCATGGGGGTCCATCCCATTAACAAGTACTCATACACAGCTCAGCAGAGCAGCAACCACATTTGTCCAAAGTCCTACACGAACGACTTCCTAAAACCCTGGAAGAATTCGCCAACCCTTCCCTCCGCCTTGTTACCTGCGCACAGGAAGCAAGAGCAGCAGCTTGCTAAGTGAGATAAGTTAGGCACAAAAAGGGCGAATACTATACAACTGCATTTCCTTGAGTTACCAAGATTAGTGAAATCACAGAGCAGAAGGAAGACTGTGGCATTATTATTTAATGGGTAGGAGCTTCGGATTGTAAAGGTGGAAAAGGTTCTGAAGACAGACAGTTGAGGGAATGGGAAGTTGCTTTTCAGTGGGTATAACATTTCATTTTTACTTTTCACTGGGAATATCATGCTTTAAATTTGTTCTTTGAGATTTTATTTTTATGTGTGTGAATATTTGCCTGAATGTATGTCTGTGCATCATGTGTGTGCATTGCCAGCAGAGGTCAGAAGAGTCTTTGGATCCCCTGGGACTGGAGTTTTAAAGAGCTGTTAGCTGCTGTGAGGTTGCTGAGAACTGGACCTGGGCTCAGGTCCTCTGGAAAGCAGCCAGTGCTCTTAACTTCCGTGCCGTCTCTCCAGCTCCAGGAATATCATTTCGTCCTTACTTTTCAGTGGGTATATCATTTCATTTTTTACCTTTTAATGAGTATACCATTTCATTCTTACTCTTCAATGAGTTTAATATTTCATTTTTATTTTTCAGTGGTATACCATTCCATTCTTTTTAATAAGTGCACCACTTCATTCTTACAAGACGAAGTTCTGGAGTCCTATTTCACAATGAGAATATATTAAATATGACTAAAATATGTTTTTAAAGAGTTAAGAAAAAAAATGTTATGTGCTGTTTACTGCAATAAAAACAGATATAGAATAAAAAACATGTAATTCTCTCTCTCTCTCTCTCTCTCTCTCTCTCTTTCTGTGTGTGTGTGTGTGTGTGTGTGTGTGTGTGTGCGCTCATGTGCATGCATGCTAGGCAGCTGAACTTTGTGTGCAGGCTACTCTGATGTCAACTTGACACAAGCTAGAGTCATCTGAAAGAAGGGAGCCTCAACTGAAAAATGTCTCCATTAAGTTCCACTGTAGAACATTTTCTCAATTAGTGATTGATTGATGTGGGAGGGCCCAGCCCATTGTGGGTGGTGCCATCCATCCCCAGGCTGGTGGTCCTGGGTTCTGTAAGGAAGCAGGCTGAGCAATCCATGGGGAGCAAGCCAGTGAGCAGTACCCCTCCATGGCCTCTGCATCAGCTGCCCCGTTTGAGTTCCTGTCCTGATTTCCCTTGACAATGACCAGTGATGTGGAACTGTGAGCCAAACAAGCCCTTTATTCCTCAAGCCGCTTTGGTCATGGTGTTCCGTCACAGCAACAGTAACCCTAACTACAACACATGCCCATTAAGTTATCAACAGGAGACAAACACTGAGTGTTTAGTCAATGCTCCTTCAGCTGCTCAAGCTTACCAAGGTATTCTGTGAAGATTTCCCAAGCATCTGGAGCCAAGGCAATGCCCTTATTCCCACTCCTGCGCCATTTACTGTTTGAAACATTACATATAGTTTAGTGTTATAAGTGATAACTCACATATCCCTAGAAGCTCTCTGGCCTCCACTATTAGAATCAAACGGTGTGTGTGTGTGTGTGTGTGTGTGTGTAAGTGCAAGCATGCGTTGACAACAGCTAGTGTGTGCTGGTCAGAGAACAACCTCAGACGCTGATCATCTCCCACCTGTTGGAAACACAGTCTCTGCTGTTGCGGCTGTGACCGGACTCCAGGCTAGCTGGTCCACATGCTTCCAGGGATTCTCCTGTCTGTTTCTCACTTTGCCACGGAAGCACTGAGATTGTAGCTGCCCTTCCACATTTGGCTTTCTGTGGGTCTGGGATTCCAACCTAGGTCTTCACACGTGCGACACTGACTATGTTCCCAGCCCCACTGTCACTTTTATAAAGCCCAAACTGTCACATGTGCCAGGTGTGGTGCCACAGGGTTATAATCCCAGCACTCAGGCAGGAACACAGAGGAAGAAGACCGCAGCAAATCCCAGATCAGCCTGATCTGTATAGCAAGTTCCAGGCCAGTCAGGGCGACACAGTGAGATCCTGTCTCAAAAATCCCAAACACCTCAACGGTGCTTCACCCTAACACTATCCTTATTCCTTTAAGTTTGCCAATACCTTATACAAAGAAAACACGGATGTGTGTGACTGATGAAGGAACACCAACAGAAGTCCTGTGTTCGGAGGGGAGCAATGAGGGGGGAGAGAGAGGAGGGGGAGAGAGAAGGAAAGTATACTGCTATTAATGGACTAGAATAATGGAAGAGTCTTTTTTTATAGATTTTTTTAATGAAATTTTCAAACACTATATACTAACTTATTTATTTATTTTGAGACAAGGTCTCTCTACATAGCTAAACACTATGTACTAACTTACTTATTTATTCATTTATTTATTTATTTATTTATTTATTTATTTTGAGACAAGGTCTCTCTACATAGCTCTGCTATCCTGGAACTCACTATGTAGACCAGGCTGGCCTCCAACTCACAGATCCACCTACCCAAGTGCTGGAACTAAAGCCACCCTCAGCTCAATAGAAAATGTTCTGATTTTTGGTTTCTCTTCCTTTCTCTTCCAATGTCCTCCCCACCCTTCCAACTCCATGCCTTCTTCCTCTCTCTCTTTAGAAAATAAACAGGCAAATAGAAAAACAAGCAAGAATAAAACAAAGCAGACAACAAAGAAAAATCAGAGAACCATGCACCCATAAAAACACAGAATCAGAAATCATAATATACAAGCAAAAGACCAGTATGGCAAAAATGCCCAAACAAAGCAATATGAGAAAAAAACCAAAAACAATAACAAAATAAAACAAAACAAAAACAACAAAAACCAACCAAACAAACAAACAAAAACTCCAAAAATAGCTTAGAGTTCATTTTGTGTTGGCCATCTACTGCTAGGCATGGAGCCTGCCCTTAGGTATGGTTTGCATACCCAATAAGATTCTCTTGATGAAATGATTTTTTCTTTTGTGAGCAGTTGTTAATTGGAGATAGCTCCTGGGTTAGTTTTTGGAGTCAGGGACTCTACCTCAAGAGTAGACCCGCAGGCAGAAGAGAAGTGTGATTTGTTTCAATTAGTCTCCTACAAGCACATTTCGAAACATTATTATGCTTAATTATATTGTAGAATTTGATTCACTGTGACTCTGTTTTCTCTTGATTTAGAGCACAAAGCAGGGAATTTTTCATCATATGTCACAGTGAATCCCGGCATGCCAATTCCAAGCTTGTTTTTTCTTTTTCAGTAAAGTCATGCTCAAGGAAAGACAGAAGAGCACCAGCCACCACATTCACATGGTTGGCATTGCACAAAAGAATTAAGTTACAAATAAGGGCAAATTTAAGGGGAAAAGAAAAAAGAAAAAGAAATGTGGACCAGCGTAAAGGAATAAAGAGCACCAGAAATGGAACTGAGTGGATAAATGCAAAAATCTTTCTCCTTTTTAGAATTTCTCAGGCTGGCAACATGGCTCAGCACATGCCACCAATCCTGAAGACTTGAGCTCAATCCCTGGTGCCCATGTAGTGGAAGGAAGAGAGCCAGCTCCAGCAAGCTATCCTCTGACTGAGACAGACAGACAGACAGACACACACACAGCTCTGGCAATTTCATACACTGTAGATAGTAGAGTCTACCTACTCTTATCTGTTCTTATACCCCCTCACTACTGTCAACCCTGCCCCCCCCCCGCCCCCGAAGTTCCTTTCCTATATTCACATCCTTTTGTTTTGTTTTGGATCTACTGAGTTTGACCAGAGCCATCTGTGTGGTCTTGGGCTTAGAACCATCCATCAGAGGCTGGTTCCTCTGAGTATACAACTGAAGACAATGGCTGCCACTTCCTTCTTTCCTTCCTTTCTTTTTTTTTTGAGACTGGGTCTTTCTACATAGTCGTGGAAGTCCTGGAACGTGAGTTGTAGACCAGGCTGGCCTCAAACTCAAATCCACTTGCCTCTGTCTCCCAAGTGCTGGGATTAGAGCATGTGCTACTACCATGCTTGGCCCTGCCCCTTTCTTTAAAATTTAATTTAAAGCAAAAATAACTAGTAATAACAAAATTCTCTGGGGTGTGTGTATTCATACAGGCATGGAATGTATAACAATAAGTTAGTGAAAGAAAACTGAAATATGTCACTGCAGAGTTCTCACACATATGGTGAGTAAGAGAGCATCATCTAAAGGTAGGCTACGACAAACACAAGATGTATGACGTACGGTCCAGAGCAGAGACTGGCAAACTGTGATCCATAGGTCAAATCTAGTCTCCCACAGGCTTTCTACATTTTCAAACGGCTGAGAGGAATCCAAACAATCATCTTCTGTGACACACGAAGATTACATGGAACTCAAGTCTCCACAGCCACCAGGGTCTACTGAAGCTCCGCTTCGGTCCCTAGTGCGGCTTGTGCAAAACAGCAGCAGAGGCCTGGTGTACCCTGCTGCACAACTAGCCAGCCCCTTGGGAAATGCTTGTCAGCCCTGCTCTTAGAGCAAGTACAGAGAGGGGAGGGGAAGGAGGAGGCAGAAACAGAGAAAGGGCAGAGCAGGGCATACACCTAGCAGGCAGGTGGACTTGGGCTTGATGTCCAGAACCATCCCCAAAGGAAGACCAATCCACAGTGTATGCACACAGGGCAACAGCACACTGGACACCATTAATACTTACGGTTAACACATGTCAGTAAAAAATAAGAAAATGAAACAGAGAGCTGTGTCTAGGAAGTTGCAGTCAGGGACAAAATCAACCATAAAACAAGCGAATGGGGAGGGGGCGTGAGGTGTATGCCTATAATCGGAGCACCAGGGGAAGCTAAGGTAGGTGGATCTGAGCCAGAGGGAGTTCTGGGTTACAAGTTCTAAGGCAGCCTGGGCACTACAGAGACACTGTTTCAAAAACAAAACAAAACAAAACAAAACCCTCTCAATTATTTCTTGAAGTACAATCGATTAAGCTATAGACAAACCCAAAACAAACAAACAAACAAAAAGCATGGAAAAAAAATCACCAAATACTTTTAAGTGTTAGCAACAGACTTCCAAATAACTAATTAGACAAAAATAAAGATCAAATAATAAGAAGTGGGAAATAACATGAACTGGGTGTAAACAATATATTAAAAAAATGAGACACAGCTAAAGACTGCTCGGAAGATGGTATTAATTTCCTGTATCAGAAAACACAGAAATACCAGGTTAGTGGTATAAAACTCTACTTTAAAGTAAGTACTAGAAAAAGAACAAAACCTACCACTACCAGGAGGGAGATAGTAAAGAACATAAACACACAAATCAAGAAGAATGAACGGCTGTGAAAGTTGGCTCACCCGCGTCATGACGAAAGGGGGCCGAAAGAACAGGTTTAACTTACTAACACCATTAGCTGTCTGTAGTACTGAAACCGGTTAGGAGCCGGGGCTGCTCTTGCAGAGGACCTGGATTAAGTTCCCAGCACCCACATGGTGGCTCTCGGCTCTCTGTCACTCCAGTTCTCTCTTCTGGAGTCCAGGGGCATTGCACACATGTGGTGCACACATACAGGTAAGCAAACACTCGTACACACAGAATAGAAATAAACGGACAAATCAGTACATCTAAAATCCAAAGGCACAGACTCCTGGAAGCAAACACACAGCTGAGGAAATGAAGACATCCGTGGACCTGACAACCCCACGAACGACGGGCTTCTTCCGATGCCGCTGGAATAACTAAGTGGAGGGCTGGGAGGGTGACCCAGCACTTGCCTGGCACAAACAGCGCCCTGGCTTCTGGCATCACAATAAAACAAAACGAATCCCCTACCTCACCCCAATCACAAACATTAACCTACAGGCAGCCCTAAAGCCAGAACCCTAAAACTTCGAGCACAGAGAGCATACGTTAGGGGACAAACAACAATTTCCTCAATAAGACAATACCGACAAACTGGACCTCTCAAAATCAAGTGTTTGCTCTTTGAGAGACACTAGGAAAGAGGTGAAAGTGTGCACCATTCACTCGGAGACAACATTTACACTAAGTACATGTCTGCCCAAATCTTGTGTCCAGAAAAACCTTTTAGCACTCAAAAAAAAAAAAAAATAATAATACACTTTGGAGTTGGAGAGATGGCTGGGGGTTAAGAGCATGCACTGCTCCTACAGAGCACCTGAATTCAGGTCCCAGCACTCATGTCCGGGGCTCAGAAGCACCGGTAACTCCAGCGCCAGAGGATCCAACGCCCTCTTCTGGCCTCTGCAGGTACCTTCACCCATGTATATATACCCACACACAGACATACACACATGTACACTTAAATAAAAATCTTTCAAAAGTAATGTAATTGTTAGTGGTGATTTGAACAGACAATTCACAAAGGAGGCCAAAGAGATGACAATAATTCTGGGAAGAACATCATCTACTAGGGAAGTAGAAAGCAGAGCACAATGAAACGCTGGACTAGAAATGTTCTGACTAGAATAGTACAAAATGTGTGGGACTGGATCACTGCTCAGCCAGTCCACAGTGGTGCAGTGCCTAGAACCCAGTGAAAAACTATTTGGTGTTTTACTTTGCTTCAAATACATTTTTTAAATTTTATTACTGTTATTTATGTGTGGGGTGCCCACCTCAGTGTCCGTGTGGAGGTCAGAGGATGGATGTTGGGAGTCAGTTCTCTCCTCCCACCATGTGGGTCCCAGGGATCAAAGTCAGGTTTGTCACCTCGTTTGGTGACAGGAGCCTTCACCCTCTGAGCCACAGGCAACGAAGACTCATTTATGGACTTCAAGGCGGTTTTATCAATGAGAACAAACAAGAAAGAAACAACTCATGAATGGAAACACGTTTTCATATGACGTCCATATGACAGAGAACTACTTGACTGCAAAAGGAATCCAACCTCTGATGCAGACAGACACAGTTCAAACACGCCGTGCTGTGTTAAAGATGACACATCCACACGGGCATGGCTATTTCTCTGCCACTATCTGTTCTGAAGACAAGCTGCCCTCAAATTCTCAGGGTTCCTGTGTCCCTGAAGGCTGTGATCCGAGGCTAGGCCACCACATCTGCCTCCAAGAGATAAATCCTTTATGATCCCACCTAGACTAAATTTCAGAACTACAAAAGGGATAGTGATAGAATCAGCTCAGCAGCTGCTTGGAATTGTGGGTAATAGGAGACTGACGTGGAAGACGCATGGGAAGACATGATGGGTTGGTAGAAATGTTCTATTTCTTGATTTGGGGGTGGTAACACAACCATATACATTTGTTAATAATCATGGGACTGACTATATGTTTAAAGTGGGCAGACTTTATTATATCCTTATTCAATGGAATGCACTTTTAAAGTGTACTGCTTTTGAAAGCCAAGCATACCGACAGCTACTTGAAGACAGGATGAATGAAGTGGAAGGCACACAAGCAGTGTGGCAGAGACAGAAAAATAGAGGCCTGCGGCTCACTGCATTTTCTTCTCCCTCCAGGGAAGGCTCATTGACTGGTGAGAAAATGATGAGGTGACACAAGAGTACCGAGGATTATTAGTTTCATGTGGCCACCACATTCTCACATGTCAGCAAACATCCTTTTCTCAAGCCATCCCTACCTCACCATACACATATTCAGCAGCGGGGCAGCAGAGCTTGGAGCACCGTTTTCTACCTGCTGCTCCGGCAGGCTAGCACAACTATGTAAAAAACCCTGCATCACAGATCAACATCATCCATACCAGATGACTCGGCGAAGGAGCCTGACGTAAAGTCAAGCCGGAAAGAACACTCACTTCTTCCATAAGAGACCAGTACTGGCCGTCACCGCCGATGCTCCCAGGAAAGCGGCCATCATCAGTCTTCGCTTGCTCTGTGTGGGCTGCGATGCCCCATGGTACCATCGCGAGCCCACGGCCAGTTCCGCCAGCGCGGCAAGGGCGTTAAGACGAAACATCCTGTGGACGAACGACAGAAATATCACCTTTAGATGCTGCTGGTGGCGATGACGGTGACGATGATGATGATGATGATGACAACAGCATCATCATCACCAAACGCTGATGAAGTACTCGCTCTGTCAGACACAATCCTGAGTGTTTTGCATGTGTTAGCCTCAGAAGGACTTATGAAAACAGAACTCCTCCTTACAAGCCAAATGTATCAGTCGAGGTAAAATGAGAAGACAGAAACCACACGCTACCTTAAGCAGAGAAATCCTGATAGAAAACACATACATACATACAATTATAACAGGAGAATAACTACTCAGATATAAAGAGGGTTGACAGAGAGTATCAACCAGGGATGACTTCTAGATTTTATGAAAAGGACAAAGCCATGGAAGTTCTGGAATGTTACTAAGATATCATATCAGCAAAATTTACTAGAAAACATTATTGAGGATGCCAGGGAAAGCCACGGAAAACTCACGGCAGCAGAATCTGTTGGTCAGGTGCCCTTCGTGGGTCAGGGGAATCTACTGAATGTCCTACTAACGTGTGCATGCCACAGAGGTGTCAAGCGAAGAGCCCACAGATTCAGAGGAGGCAGGCCTTCCTCCTGCCGTGCCTCTCTCCTGACAAGGAACAGAACTGCAAAGGGGTAAAGTTCCAGGAGCACCAACAGGACAATGCAAACAGATCTGGAGCTGATCGGCAACAGGCAACCAAACTGCTCACTTCACAGGTCTGAGTGTGACTCGCCAGGAAATCCACGCTAGAAAGCATGGGACCAGAGCTTAAAGTGAGACGGCACCAAGTTTTAGCTGGAAGACGTTGCTATTTCCTGTGTTGATGCTGAGAGATGCTTCCATTAAAGTAATTGAAGTTTTAATTAAATCTTTCGCATTCCCAGCCCTTGGAAACCTTCCTCCCTACCAGATTCTTTTCATTTCATATTTAAAGTATCTCTAAAGAAAAAAATTTCATTTAATGTAGTGGTTCTCAACCGTTCTAATGCTGTGACCCTTTAATACAGTTCCTCATGTTGTAGTGACCCCCAGGCATAAAATTGTTTTCCTTGCTACTTCATAACTGTAATTTTGCTGCTGTTATAAATCGTAATGTAAATCTGATATACAAACCCTGTGAAAGAGTCATTTGACCCTCAAGGGGATTGCGACCCCCAGGTTGAGAAACACTGCTTTAATGTTTTGTTTTATACCAGACACACCGGGAACTTCACCAAGATGCTGCCAAAAGTGAAGCTCCTCCCTTCTCGAAGCTATCTCCAGAACGAAGGTTTTAAAGGCAGAGAAAGCTGTGCTGAAATGAAAGCCACAAGAGTCGTGTGTGTCACCCACCTCCCAGGCAGCAGGGGCACTGTAAGTCACCCCACACTCTGTCGGAAGAGCACCCCCAGAGAAATAAGACCGGGCCTATGTGCCATCGAGTGCCCCCAGGAAGGAACACAGAAGATAACACACGTGTTCCGCACAGATGTCAAGGTCACCTGACACAGCTGTGAGGAAGCTCTCGTGACACTGTGGCCAATGTCGCCCTGCTGAGTTCTGATGGAGAGGAGGCCTGTGTCCCACTGGCTCCTGACTATGCTTCCGAGTCTGGCTGATTACTTCTGAATATACATGTTTTCATCATAAGAAACATTTACATTTGCTCAATTCTCAACAGACATTCACCCTCACATCCCCCATCCCATAGGCAAACTCCACTTTCCTGTTCTTCTCATTTGGGGCGTGTGTCTTACCATGTTCCTCACTCTGACCAGTGGAATGCGGACGAGTTCTGCGCAGTACATTTAGGACACCTTGCTTCCTCTGCTTCACCCGGTGATCATTCTGGAAGCAGACACTGTCCCCCCACCCCACCACCGCCACCCCCGGGTTCCAAAAGAGAGCGATCTCCGCCTGAACAAATCATGTCAGGCTACAGCTGAGAAATGATGTTTGAGAGTGAAAGGCACCAAACTTGGAGGGCTCTTCGTTGCCACAGCAAGAGCTAATTCAGCATCCAGGAGAAATTACTGAGGCATTTTCACTCAAAATGAACTTATTAAATTCATACTGCACGCCCAGCCAAGTGTGAGAATCTAACAAGTCACCAATAATTTAGATTCTAAGGAAGCAAGACACACTTGAAATATTCTTTAAAAATTTTATTACACATTTATTTGTGTGTGTGTGTGTGTGTGTGTGCGCGCGCGCAAATGTGCATATATATGCGCAAATGCCACGGCATGTGTGTGAAGGTCAGAGGGCAATTGGCAGATACCAGTTCTCCCCTATCTCCATGTGCATCCCAGAAATTGAACTCAGGTTGTCAGGCTGGGTGGCAAGGGCCTTTAACAGCTAAGCCATCTTGCTGGCATCTTGAAACATATTTAAAATGGTATTTCTAAAATGATATCTAAAGAAATATATGGGAGAGGGGGTGATAGCTCTGTGGTACTCTACAAACACAAGGATCGAATCAATTCCCAGAGTCCATGTTTTAAAAAAAATTTTTTTAAAGCCCTATCATAGGGGTGCAACATCTTTAATCCTAGGCACTCTGGAGGCAGAGGCCAGCCTGGTCTACAGCGTGAGTTCCAGGCTAGCCAGGGCTACGCAGTGAAACCCTGTCTCAAAACAACAACTAAAAACGAACAAAACAGAAACAGATTAGGACCTGTCCAAGCCCCCTAGGGTCCTACGGAGACCAGGACAGGCAGGTCACTGGGCAGCTTTGGCAAACTCCAGGTCAGGGAGTCTGTCTTGATATAACAACAAGAACAACAGTAACAACAACAAGAAATCCACAGCCAGAAAGTAGAGGGTGCTTGAAGAACATGATCAAGGTTCCATATGCATAAACATCAATGCACCAACAAAACAATTATAAACAAGAGAGACTGGGTTGGTCAGCTTTGATTTTATTTCCTTCTCAGCCTGAGATCGGTGCAAAATTTTGATGAAAGGCCAGAAAGGCCAGGGGCATTCCAGAAATCTTAGCGTCATTTTAGACAGACACTTCCACTGAGAGAATTAATGGAAAGTGATTCTTTTCCCTCTCTCTAAACAATGACACCGAGGCCACAGGTGGTCTTTCCTTCTTCTATTTCTCCAGGCAGAGGCGGAGGAAGGCAGATCCCCATAACCTTTTTGTGGAGTACCTCATTTGAGTTACTCAACTACTCATCTATGGCCTCACCCTACCCTGCACAGCCGTGTTTCTCAAAGCACAGAACAGGGCTTCATAATTTAAATCACCCTGTGACGGGGCACTGGCCCACTCAAGCATGTGGCTCTGGTGGGCCTTGCCCTTCTCCCCAATCCCCTCTGCCTTGCTGGGGACCACTGTATTGCATTCCTGAGGCTGGCCACCAATGTCTGTTCCCTTGTTTGGCCACTTCCTCCTCCTGGGGCTGACTACCAAGGTGCAGCTATCGGGGTATCAGAGTCCGGTGGTCAGGGGCCCCCTTTGGCTCACCTAATTGACATGCCCACTTAAAATTAAACACCTCATCCTAACACAGGGTTTTCCCATTTTACCGTTATAAACCACCATTTGCCTATGGGCCAGGTCTGTCTCCTCTCTATCCAAGGACAGCCCTTTGTTCCTTGGGATGAACACCTCTGCCCCCTTTCCCTTGTCCCCTTCCCCTTCTCCCTCATCCCCTATCTCCGTCACCACCACATCCTAGCCCATTCTAACACAGACCTCCCGTTCTTTTAAAATGACACCTACAAGGTCATCTGCTGCTGTTTTCTTTCTGAGTCAGAAAGCAGCCCCTTTAACTGTTCTTCCCCCGCTTAACAAAGCATCTCTCGGTGAACACAGGTGTTGGGTGTGGTTTGCGTCTGATGCGGGAGGTGGAGCCCCTGCTGTGAGGGGTCCCCCCCCTTCACCCTGAACTTGGTGTGCATGTACCCAGGGCAGTATATTTACCCTAACACCTGCTTCTCCACTCGGCTCTGAATTTCCTTCAAATGTTTTTTTTTCCCCTTTGTAGACACACAATCAGGCAGAGACAGGACTTGTATTACTTAACTATTTTATTTTCACATGAAAAACACCTGCACAGTATAAATGATACAGGCCCTTGCTCCTAATATTTATGTCTACTAAGAACCTCTACTTTACGAAAAGAACTGTATTTGGTGGTTGGGGCTCACCAGATTCAATCACTGGTCTGTTATTGACTCTTCCCTGGGACCGAGGTACATCTTGCCCCTGCCACCTGTACCAGGCCAGGTTCAATCTCAACACTGGAACTTAATCCTGCTGTCCTTATAGACAAAGTGGGACAACATTTATTTTCTGTGACTTAAGCTGCACAATCCCAACATCACTCTGGAACCCCAGAAGGCATCTCCCATTACTGCACATATGCTAATAAAATCCAACATGGAGAGGCTGTCCCTTATATTTTCTTCCTAGCCAACAACTTCTGAATCATTTTTTTCTGATTCATTTTTAAATTAACATTTTCCAAATGTACACATGTGTAGATATAAATAGCATTGCTTTTGGCAACAGCAAAAAATGTGCACAAATAACACAGCTGTCTGGAGAGAGTGTGGTCACCGCGACAACCAGAAGCAACGGGCCCTGGGGGAGTTTCAATGCCACAAACAAGGAATGCAGTCAACACACAAGCTGGGACAAGTTGGGAGTGCTCATCTGGTAAGACTGGGAGAAGAACTGGGTAAGCCACATGCAACTGAGAAGACAAGACCTTGGAGGGCCAAGCTGAGAATCTTTATCACACACACACACACACACACACACACACACACACACACACACACACTCACACTCACACTCACACACACTAGGAGGACCCTTGAGTTCTTAAATAGGAAAACGTCATGTTAAAAATGACATTTCAGGGCTAGAGACAGTGAGTGGTTAAAAGCAGGTGCTGCTCTTCCAGGATAGGAGTTTGGTTTCCAGCACCCACACAGGGTGGCTTCTAACTGCCGGTCATCCGACCCTCTTCTGGCCATGGTGGGCTC